CACTTTATCCTCACGTATTGTATAAAATTCATTTAATCGCCCAAATAAACCCCAAGTACTGTCCAAAAGTGTCTGTATACCATAGGTTAACAATCGAGCTAACTTTACTTTATTTAAATTATATTCGTTTGGTTCAATGGGATATTGTTGGGTATCATAAGCAGCTGGTGGTAATAAACATGTGATAACTTCACCGTTAATATTAAAGCTCTTATCAACGAACTTTTTCATATTTCCAGTTACTTCAGCCATATAAATAAATGGTTTAATTAATTCTTGATGTGTTGTTTTACCAATGTTAACCACTGTGCGAGCATCATTTAACAAAACTTCACGTAAATCATCATTTTCTTTTAAAAAACCTTCATTAGAGTTATCTTGAAAATAATTTAGATATTCACTTTCCCTAAATGTGGGATTTTCAAATTGTTTACCGCCCACTTGGCTGTTTAATGGCAACAAACGAAAGTTTAAAGCACGAATTGATATACCATTAATGGTGTCAGTTAATTCGAGATGCGATAGTACGTCGATAGGTGTGGTCTATAAGATCAAAATGAATGTGCTTTCAACTGTATTTTCAAGAGGGATACGTACGTCAAACATCTTGAATTTTTCATTGGTAATAATATCACCAAATGTCATCTTTAAATTTCGCGTATATGTTTCATAATCTTGTTCAAATTGAGTGAAACCTAAGAATTTGTAAATTTTTTATGCAAGAAAAAAAGTACTCTCTGCGGTGGTTCATCGTCGATAAAAAATTAAGACAGGTCCAAATATTTTTTCCATTCTACTGTTCGAAAGAGAAGAGAAAAATGAACGAAATGAACCATGTTTTTGTAAAGTCGAAGAAGTTCATATTGAAAAAAATGAAATGAATGAAGATTGCAAAAATCATCTTTTTTCATGGAGTTTTTCGAGATGAGCATCCTTCAAAACATAAGACACCGATATTAGATGGGAAAATGTTCACTTCTTTTTTCCTGTTTTGAATCAGACGCCCTTTTGGTGTCTTACATTTTAAAGACTACTCATCTCAAAAACCATTAAATCTGGTCTTGAAAAACTTCGTACAAAAAGATGGCTTCTTCCTAGGTTTTTAGGAAGCGCTGTTTTTCGTTTAAATTGACAGAAGATCGAGGGGCATATGGCCGGTATAACTCCAAATTTCGCTCTAACGAGGGAATCTTTTTCCCAGGTGTCACACTCCGTTTTCGTTCATTCGTATCTCGATCGATACAGTATATCGAGATAGCCAAAAGCCTAAAAGGGTTCCGACCGAAGTCTCTTTCTTCAAAAGTTATGGAATTTTTTTTCTTTTTTCCCAGTGAAACAGGAAAAAATTTAAAATTTCTAACTCCGTCAAGAAAAGGAATAAAGAGTTCAAATTTTTTTCTGTGACTCGTCTATATATCTCTGATATTTGTAGAAAGTCTCAGCTTTCCATTTCGGAGTTATAAAACCTTTCAGTTTTCCAAATGTTTGCTGTTCGATATGCGCACGATGAAAGAACACGATATGATATGCTCACGCACTGGAAATTCCTTGGCGAGTCTGCACCGAGTGGCGGCACGACCAGGTTGTATTGGGGTTGGTCCCGATCCCACAGGCTTTTGAGAAATTTCTGGTAGACTTCGCCAATTTTGGGACCTTCCTATCGAAACTACCCCTTTTGCGCGCCACTGCCTCTGCCTAAATCCGAATTCTTGCTGATATATGCAGAATTATGATTTAAAGTGATGATCTACCCTCCGGTATGTTTAGACAATTAATGGTCCATTTACGAGCATTTTTCAGTGCTTTTATCGCCATTCGGTAATTGCTCAAGAATGATGTAAAAATCACATAATAATTGGACAACTAGTTACACATAAATGATGTTAACTTAAAGTCATATAAATGACCGTAAAATGGTCATTATGAAATGACCATTCTATGATCATTTTTTTCTACTAGATCATTAATGGTCAATTTTTATGTCATTTTTGCTAATGATAACAAAATGAGTCATAAATGAGATCATTTCTAGCTCATTTTTATACCATCAATTGGCCATCAACTGATCATTCTTATGCCATACCATTAATTGGCCATTAATGGCTCATTAATGTCTCATTTTCATTCACCTGGGTTGGTTTTTGGTATGACGATAACATTTTAAAATAGCCTATGTAGGAAGAGCACATCTGAATGTACATCATGATACTCAAATCATCAAAGTCAATAAAAAGAATGTAAAACACTGTATGCGAACGCTGCAGCAAAAGTCCAATGCAAAAAAAATGTTTATTTGTACCGTCACCGCACAAACAAACAGTTCTTATGACCACTGGAATCGGTTAATTCAATGAGAAACTGTAACTGTCGAAGAAAATCATACTTACAAAACGAAAAACTGTAAAATTTTATTTTACAATTTGAGAAAAATGTTGTACACATCCAGTTTGTAGAGAAAAGCAAACTCTGAAGCCACGTTCACACAACAAAATTAAACCTCGTTCTATCCTAATCCTTGATTAGTAAGTCGACTTCTGAAAGGCATGGGATGAACGTTGTCATCCACAAAAATGCCATATTTGTACAATTCATTATCCGAACGCATAACTTCAGCAGAATTCCAGTCGCTTGCGATCTTAGTTGTACTACTGTATTTTGATGAATTTTTGTCGTCAAGAGCACAACTGAGTCCGTCATTTTCATATAAACCATTCGAGTTAATGTTAAGTCTTCATAGCCACACAAGCCCCTCAGTTGAAAACTTCTGCTTGGATTCTAATACCCAAACTTTAGCGATACATATTACATTGAACTGAATTTGTAGGCCGTCTCTTTCTTTCTTTAGAACAATTGATACTTCTTAGAGATCAAAACTTGTTTCTATAAAGGTTCATGTTGACGATTTCATGAGATGAGCCGGTCTTACCGCCGTTGTTCCTCCGATTCAACCGGTCATTGTTAGATTTCTTGCATACCGTTAAGCCAAATATTTTGTACATTTTCAGTCGCTCTCTGAAACAAATCAAAACGTTATTGACTTCTGAATGGAAGGAGAGTCATGGAAATCGTCGAAAGTTAGATAAAATGGTTAGAAAATACTGATTTTGGTCGAATTTTGCATGATGTTTTATAACTCTCCCAATAGCTGAAGAATTTCAATTTGCATAAAAAAATGGCATTTTTTATTCTCTACAAGACATGCTGGGTTGAGACGTGGCCGCAATCACTTTTGTAAATGGTTGCATTTTTCGCATGGCATTACCCACATGTGACAGTTGAAAGTTTTCCTCCATGAAAAGAACGTTTCGCTTTTGACCTTCCTTAGAGTTCTTCTTCTCAACGAC